AATTTTTTTTTAATTTAAATTAAAATAAAAATTAATTATAATGATATAATTATATATAATTTAGTAAAATAACCTTTTTTAATTAAAATTATTTTAATTATTAAACTTATAAATTTAATTTCTTTTTATTTTTCCCGCAGATTAAAATTGGTAGGAAAATTCGCAGGAGAAATTACCCACAAAATTTTTCTACCATTTAGTAAAAATTATTTGCAAATTTATTTTTAAAAGAAAATATACAAGAAACAAAATAAAATTCTTGCAACATTTTTTGCAAATTTTTATTATGAAAAAAAAATTTCTATGATCATTAAAATAGTAGAAAAATTTACAAAAATTTCTTGCAAATTATTTTTCATAAAAAATTTATGAGAAATATCTATAAATTATTTTTTGCAAATAAATTTGTAAATTCGTTTGTGAAATTATTATTGTAACAAAATTTGTAACAAAATTCTGGGAACATTTTTTTTTATTAGGAAAACTAGTAGGAAATGATATTTTTCTAATAGTGATGATTTAAATCGATGGAAATCAAAATTCATGATAGTTTCTTTAAAAAATAATTTTTTTATTACAGAATTTATTACGTACATTTGTTTTTGCAAAATTAATGCAAAATAAATTATTTTTTCATTTTTTTGTTTTTCAAAATTACGTGCATCATAAATTCCCTGCATTCATTAATGCAATTATATTAAAACACTACTAATACTTTAATTCATCAGAGGAAGTTTATCATTTATGTTTTATGACCAAGTCCTCCATTGCAGCAAGCAATAAATCAACGCATTTACAAGTTTATACTTTCACCAAGTAAAACATACTTAACACCTCATCTTATTAAAAAATAAAAAAATAAAAAATAAATCAATTTATAATTTAAGATTCACAATATATTAAGAGAAAGTACACTTACCTTAGATTAAAAGACAAATTCAGATGGCCAATTTGAACGGCAATTTGAAGCTGGTGCCCTTAGAAATAGTGTCAGCTTAACAGAGAGTATCAACATCCAAAGCGAGCTTGGTAAAAATAGAAAAAATATAGATGAATGGTTATATGCACTTCAATGAAAAGTGGTTGTTGTCTCACCAAATATTTTATATAAAAAAGAGTTACATTTCATTTTAAACAACAACAAAAAGCACTCATGTTTTGAACTCCATAACATATTTTAAACCATTCAAGTTCTTAACCCATTACCTACACACCCCAACTAAAACTTGTGAAGACAATCAGAAATAAATTAGCCATATCATTTTATCATCGATTATTTCTATTGAGGCAAAATTGAAAAGGAGAAAAAGACCTAACCACATACCCAATTGGACTTTCAACAGAAAAGAACACACAAGCTTCTTGGGTGGAACAGAGAATAGAGAAGAATATAATGTTTAAACTATTTGTTAAGTATGAAAGACGACTTAGACAGCAAAAATGCATATGCTATGTCATCTATGCTTCTAAGAAGTTTCATATGCTATGATTCAGAGTCTATTGAGTTTTCACACACACTTTTCCTATCTGGTTCCTAGTGGGCCCCAACATCTTCTATTCCACACGTTTCATGTCCCTTGACTTTTGACTATGTAGAGCGTTGATTACTATTGGTATCAAAGTTGTGCGTCATACCCAATTTCATACGCTCATGCAACTGGTCAGAGATTTCTAATTATTACATGGAAGTCCTTATTATTTTATTTTAACTTAACAGTATAAAATAGTTAAAACTGCATATAATATTCTCCTTACCTGTGAAAAGCAAACAATTTAAAGAAATTAATAGTCATTTTTTTAATAAATTTCTGGAGATAATTTTTCAAGCAAACATGGTTACGATGGTATCCATGGCTAATTGACTAGTGGACTTCACTGTGCATTTAAGGCCGTTTTTACGGCAGGCTCCTCTCAAATCTTAATTTTATTATTTTAAAATTAATTTAAATTTAAATTATCATACAAAATTTTTACTATATCATTTATGATTAATCTATTAGTAAAATTATTTGATTATAAATATATATTATAAAATATTTAAAAAGGTTTATTATTTATTTAAAAAATTATATGAAAAATTAGTTTGAATTTAAATAAAAAAATATTTGACATGAAATAAACATAGAGATCAAATTTCATAAAAAATATGATCATATATAAAAAAAAAATATTTATGAAAAATGACAACATTTAGTTAAATACTAACTATTATGATTATTATAAAAAAAATTATTTTAATTATGATTACTTTATATAATATAATATAAATAAAATTATTTTTTATTCACAGATTATGAATAAATTCTAAAATATAAAATCATTTTGGACTGTCATTTAAATTTAAATAATTGGATATTTCCAAAGATAAAATTTAAAAAAAAAAATTTATTAATCTTGAAATAAATTTTAGTTTTAGTGGATATTAATTTCATTTTGTAATCTTATTCTTATCTCTCTGAAGTTGAAAGCACTAAAAGAAGTATTAAAATAAATAAATAAATAAACAGTCTTAGAATCATTGATTATATTAAAAATATTTTCTTAATGAATAATATATATATAATTAATATTATTAATAAGTAAATAATAATATTTGTAATTTTATGAGATTTTTTCTAAAATTAATATTTTTTTAAGATTCAATTTGACATCTAACAATATTATAAAGTGTAATGTTAAATTTTTTTCGATTATTAAATTTTAATTAACAAATTCACAGTTTTAAAAAATAGAATAATAAAATAAAAATTAATAAATTATAATAAAATATAACTTAGATGTAAATTTTCTGGCTAACATCCCGAAAATTCAAGACACGGCTCTCCTGTGCAATTGCACCAGTAATTATTAAATGTGATTTTTTCTAAATAAGTATATATAGTTTTCTAATGGGTGATGCCCTCGTGTTATATTTTGCTTCAATAACCCTTAGGCTAGGAAGAAACACAAAGACAAGTCAAATCTCTCTAATGCAATAGTGCACTTGATTCTAAATGTTGAAATATAAACTTGATTTTAGGTTTTATTTGTCTAGTTAAAAGTTCAATTTCTAGAAGTTTAAAGTTAAGATCAAGGAATATGATCTAGAAAAATATTTTTATAAGATATTTATAGAGTAACATGTAGAATTTTTTAGAATATGTATGTAGGTGTTGCCAAAATCCTAATCGTTGATTAAGGAGGAACCACTAATATAAATAATAAGGGGTAATGTGTCATACTCTGTATCAAGCCAAACAAGCATTTATCAATCATATACATAACCTCTTAATTCCTCCAAAAACTTGTAGCCTTTATTCTCGAACATTTCATCCACTAATATAGTTTTATTATAATAAAGTGGTATTAGAGCTTGAAGATCCTTATTAAAGAGATGATGAATAATGACATGGTTCCATTCCAAGTTCTGACACTCAACAAGAGCAACTATAACAGTTGGAGCATTAAGATGAAGGCTCTTCTTGACACACAAGATATATTGGAGATAGTAGAGAAAGGTCACAATGAGTCAAAGAATGAGGGTAGTGTCTCTCAAACACAAAAGGATAGTTTGAGAGACTCAAGAAAAAAGACAAGAAGACTCTCTATTTAATCTATCAAGGTTTAGATGATAAAGTTTTTGAGAAAATTTTAGAAGCAAAGTTGGCAAAACAAGCATGGGAGGAGCGTCAAACAACATGCAAGGGAGTGGATCCAGTCAAAAAGGTATGTCTAGAAACTTTAAGGGCTCAATTTGAAACTTTGCATATGAAAACAGGAGAGCTTATCTCTAACTATATCTTTAAAGTCTTGACGGTCACCAATCAACTTAAGAGAAATGGTCAAAAGCTTGATGATGTAGATATTATGGAGAGAGTTCTTAGATCGATAGATTTAAATTTCGAACATATTGTTGCCATCATTGAAGAAACAAAAGACTTGGAGGTTATGACCATTAAGCAACTTTTAGGCTTGTTAGAAGCTTATGAAGAAACGAAAAAGAAGGTATCATGGAACAACTACTCAAAACACAATTTGATTTGAACAAAGAAGAATATGTAATCACAATAATAGAAGCCAACTAGGATGGGATTGTGTTGGAGATCGAGGACAAGGTATGAAGTTTAGTGAAAAACACACAGAAGAGAGAGTTGAATGTGTGTGTACGAAGGATTTTAAAAACGTTTTTGCAAAGGTGTTACTTTCCGTTAGAAAATAATGTTTCGGCTGTGTAAGGAAAGTGCAAGGTTGATTAAAAGGAACTATGTGTCCAAAGTTCTATTGTCTATTCGAAAATGATTTTCTCAGTCAAACGAATATGAGTTCGTCTAAATATTATTTAGAAGATAGATAGTAGTAGACGAAGTTTTTCAAAGTGATGAGTCAATATGAGTGAAACTGCGTTTCTAAGTTAAATAATAATACAAAGAGTTTTTATACTGGTTCACTCGTTCTTAGCTACGTCCAGTCTCCTTCAATTGAAGGGTTCCACTAATCACAACGGATTACAAGTATTCTTAACCACTTCTGGTTCGTCTACTTCACTCACAGACGCTATTATTCTTAAATCACTTTTGGTTACTCAAGTATTCTTAACCACTCTTAGTTCGTCAACCTCACTTGCTAACGCTAGTATTCTGATGGACCATCGGCTAAGAGCCCAATCACTAGAGCTATGGCCAGGAGCATACAAGAAGAGTTGGACAACTTGAAGACCAGTCGGCTCTCTAAGCCCAAGGTACTCTTCATTTGAACTACTTTATCATGAAGAAGAGACATAGTTCTAATTGTATATAGTTTGTAAATAGATTTCTTGTATAGACTTATTTTTGCCTTTGTATTTGTGAGGAATTTTATTTCATTTTATTAATCATTGTATATTGTTTCTAAGGTAGGTTTCTTGGAGACTTTGACTCTATTTAACCTAATTTTGAAGTACACTCATTTTCTATTTTTTCAGTAGTAGAAGTGGGGTGACATTTAACAATGCTTGAGGGTGTGACTAGCAATTGGGTCAGAATTGGGCCTAGGCAAAATTTTACATATTAGACTCATTTTGCTCCTAATTTTTCATAGGTTTGATCTAGCTAGGTCTCATCATCTTTGATGGACCTAATTAGACCAAACCAAACATTTTTGAAATTAATTCAAGGAGTCAAAATGAACCAAATCCGCCTAGATTAGTCTTGCTCCTCTTTGGCCGAAAATTGCTTTTCCTTATTCAAGCTTGGGAAGCTTGTGCTACAAGCTTCTCACTTAGCTTGCTTCCCAAACAAGCTAAGTGAGAAGGTTGCTCCACAAGCCTCCTAACTAGCTTGGACGGTCAAGCCAACCAAACCATGGTTCACTTGAACCATGGTTAAGGTTAGCTTGCTCCCTAAGCTACCTCCTTCTATATATTTGTAACTCCAACATTTTCCCTCACTTTTGATGAATGAAAATAAGAATTTACACAAATGATCTCTTCTCAAATTCACCTAGAATCCGTCGAGAACAGTCTCCTTAGGTTTCTCACAAAGGTTTTCAACCTTTGATGCTTGGTTCCTCAAGCTTTTTCATCTTCAAGAAGTGGCCGAGCACAGTCAAGTGCTTCCAACTCTATTGAAGTTTCTTCAATGGAGCTTTTCATCTTTGACATGTCATTGCCTCAAGAGAAGAAAGGGAATGAACGGTGGAAACTTGAAGAACAATAATCTTTCTCTAAGATTTTCCATCATTTTTGGTATCTAGAGCCTTAGTGCATGTCTAGGAGCCAAAATTTGCAATAAATCTTGAACAATGTTCTGAAGTTCAGGTTCCATCCTAGTGTATGAAACAACATGGAAATAAATGATACGTAATAAGTTAAACAAATTCTAAAGGAATTCAGGTTCAGTCACAGCATTGCCTTTCTCATTTTTACTTTAAGAAAATTTAATAACTCTCGGTCCATTTTATTTACCTGTAATTTTCAGAGTGATACCTAGCTAAATTGACAGCTTTAGTTAGGTCATCTTTCCATTGTTTGCACATGCGGTCTCCCTCATGTTTTACAAAGGCTTCCTCGTAGCTTCCGGTTTGTTTCCTCACATCGGATGGATATGCCATGTAGAACACATGAATCACAATCTGTCCCCTTTTTTTTCTGCACTCCAGAATCTGACTGAGTTCACCCAAGCACCACTTTAAGGAAGCATAGTTCTTTGAGAATATGACAATAGATACACGAGAATCTTTGATAGCTTTGGTGAGCGCTGGTGAGATTTCATCTCCCTTTTCAAGTTGGTCGTCTATATAAGTTTTGACTTTCTCTTTATTCAAAGCTTCATATAGATGGCTTGTGAAGTTCCAACGGGTGTCTTCACCTCGAAAGCTTAGAAAAATATCATGATTTTTGGAACAAGAGTTGGAGGAAGAACCAACAATGCTAATCCTTTGTTGCTCATCCATCACTACTAGAAAAGTGTTATTTTTTTGCAAATTTTCTTGTAAAAAAATATTCGCAGAAAGTTTTTGGGAATTTTCCTGCAAAAAAATATTTGCAGAAAATTTTTTGCGAATTTTCCTACAAAACAATATTCGCAGAAATTTTTTGCGAATTTTCCTACAAAAAAATAATTTACAGATATTTCTTTCATGGTAAAAATTTGCAGAAAATATTGTAAGAATTTTATTTTGTTTCTTGCATATTTTCTTGCAAAAATAAATTTGCAAGTAATGTTTACTAAATGGTAGAAAAATTTTGCAGGTAACTTTTCCTGCGGATTTTCTTGCAAATTTTAATTCGCAGGAAAAATAAAAAATATATTTAAATTAATAAGATTAATATTTTAAAAAATCTTCAAGTCCCACATCGATTGAAAATAAAACAATTAAAGAGTATATAAGTTGGAATAACACTTACCTTACAAGTTGAATTGTATGGTTGAGTGTTAGACTTGTAATCTACAATCTTAGAATTTAAAAGATTATGTATGAGGCATGAAAATAAAAGATTATGAATTCTTAAAATATAGAATTTATAATAATTTTTTTTAATTTTTTCGTAAAAAATATTCCTGTAGAATTTCTTGCGAAAAAATTCGCAGGAAAGTTTCCTGCGAATTTTTCTGCGAATTTATTTTTGCAGGAAAACTTCCTGCAAATTTTTTTTTGCAGGAAACTTGCGAATTTTTTTCGCAGGAAAATTTCCTGCGAATTTTAAAATTCGCAAAAATATATTATCCACGAAGGTATTACCTGCAAATAAAATTTCGCAGAAAAATTTGCTGGAACAACGTTTCCTGCAAATTTTTATAAAAAATTCGCAGGAAAAGTCGCATGTAATAAGGGAAATTCTAGTAGTGCATTATGAATTCCAGGTACTGCACCTGCAACGCCAGAACGATACTTTTCAAGAAATGAAAAAAGTTTTTATGTTTCAATATGTTCTTGACATTTGTCTCATTATTTATTATTCATAATTTATAGATTTTTCTAATATGAGATAAAAAGTTCAAACTAAAGAAGAATAACTATTAATGTTTACCAAGCTACAAGGGTAATTTTGAGCAAATTACGTCAGAAGAGGTTACGAGGGAGGAGAGTGAAATTTAAAAATCATAGTGTTTGTATTTATAGGAGGTACTTAGGATTATTTTTTCCTTGCACGATTCACAACCGTGATTTAGAATCACACTCGTGATTCTCGCATCCCTTCATTGTATATAACGGTTGTTAGATAACCTAAGAGATTCACGACCATTATCTAGAATCACGGGGTTCCCATGCTGTGAGAATTACGGGTGTGAACTATAATCACGGAGGTGATTCTTCAAGCCTTTGCATGTACATTTTGGTTGGTTTCCATGTCGTGAGAATCACAGGCGTGAACTGGGATATTCATGGGCGTGATTCTCACAAGCCTTTGCATGTACATTTTGGTTAGTTCCCATGCCGTGAGAATCAGGAGCGTGAACTGAAATCCAGGGCGTGATTCTGCTGAGGGTATGCATCAGAATTTGGTTCCCAAGTCGCAACAACATTGATTCTAATGCTTCACAATGACGTCAATTTTGCCGATGAGGAGGGTGCGGCTGAAGTCGTGCGTAGCGGACTTGAGGTTGACGAAGGCGAAGGCGATGACGACGTGGGCGTGGCGCTACATAAATTGGTGGAGGTCTAGCGTTTCGGTAAAAGAAGAAGAGAGAAGAAGAAAACTTTAGGTAAATCTACGTGGCCAAGAGTTAACCCCGTTAGTCAAATTTGGAAGTCCCATATTGAGGTATTTTAAATTAAATTGGGACCAAATTGAAACCTAAAATTAAAGTAGGATCAAATTGAAACTTTTAGCCATAATTTTATTTAACTTTATTAGTGGATTCTTTTGGGTTGAAAAGGCTGAAAGTGCATTTGAACATAACAAAAGTTTAGTAAACAAGTAAATGTAAGAAAATAAACTTAGAAACATGAAATAATGATAAATTTTAAAATTCAGATTAAGTGAATAGCAACGTAATTAGAAAATAAGTTCTAAATTTTAGATTCAAATTGTTATTTCTTTGACATTTATTAATGAACTAATTGACATGACGTAAAATATATATACTCAATAATCCGATTGTTTAAAATATACTCTCAACCTTAAATACAAACCGGTATAGATTAACAAGGAATTTAATATGATATTGAAAGTTGAATCTTTTATATTTCATCTTTTATATAGGTCAAGTGATGCTTGGTTTTCTGCTGCATAACCTAGTTATGACCTTTTAAACCAAAAAACCAAAACTTCCGAAATAGAAGAAACACTAATAATTCATATACAACCCAATTTGTAACAAAGCATATATTGATTGGCCTGGATATAAAACCTGAAATATGTGTTTTAACCATTATGTTCTTCCTTCCTGTCAAACCATATATATATGGTTGGGGTCCAACATGCTCTATTATTATTATTAGTAAGTGACACTAGAACATTAACTTAACCTTAAACAGCCTAAACTCTGAGAAAAGCATGGACATCAAATAAATAAACTTAAATATGCAATTGCAAACCATATGTTCACAACAGCATAAACAATCATGCATTGCAGCAAGCAATAAATCAAGGCATTTGCAAGTTTATACTTTCACCGATTAAAACATGCTTAACACCTCATCTTATTAAATAAGTTAAACCAATTTCTAATTTAAAATTCACAAACGTATTAAGTGAAAGTACACTTACCTTAGATTAAAAGAGAAATTTAGATGGCCAATCTGACCAACTTTTGAAGCTCGTGCCCTTAGAACTAGTGTCAGCTTAACAAAGAGTTGCAACATCCAAAGCGAACTTGGTAAAAAATTCAAAGAATAAAGATGAATGGCTTTAATTTAAACACTTCAATGAAAAGTTGTTGCCTCACCAAATATTTTATATATGCAAAATGTTATATTTCATTTTAGACAACCACAAAACCACTCATATTTTGAAATGGAGAAAAGACCTTACCACATACCCAATCGGACTTCTTGCAACAGAGAAGAACACTGGAGCTTCTTGGGTGGAACAGAGAATAGAGAACAATATAACGTTTAAACTATTTGTCAAGTATGAAAGACGAATTAGACAGCAAAAATGCATATGCTATGTCATCTATGCTTCTAAGAAGTTTCATATGCTATGATACAGAGTGTATTGAATTTCTACACACTTTAACAGTTTAACCTTCGATTTGCTTGGTTTTCCTTTTGTGCAAGTTGAATAGCATATAGTCAGTGATATACTATGCTGCTCTGTCATCATGGCCTACGATTCTCACTTACTCCAATTGATCGAGCTCACTTGCAACCCTGTCCTCAACAATGTTTTCTGTTCATTAGCCGTACCCATCATTAACTAATAATTTTTTATTAAGCACCTAAATTAAATTATGAATAATTTTGTAATCACGTTTCTTTAATAGTAAGAAATTCCCGTTTAATCTTTTAAATTTTAAGGATACAAGTTCTTTTTAGTCTTGAGATTATGGCTTATGTTGCATAACAACTAATAATAAAAGTTTGTTCTAGTGTGAAAATGAGATTAAATTTAAACTGTCAAACATATGGCAACATGTTTTTACAATTCAGTAGATTGTTAGCTACTCATCATGCGTATCGTACACTCTTGATTTAGTTTAATTTATTTTTTTTATAAAAAAGTGTTCTATCATAAATGCGTAAAAAAATATTATCTTTAAATTTTTGTGTATCAAACACGAAGTAAGAAAACAAAAACAAAGGTTAATGTAATGCTCATGTTTTCCTTGGTGACAGTGTAAAAATTATCAAACTTGTGTCGTACCCAATTTTCATACACTCGGGCAAGTGGTACAGAGAATTCTAATTACTACATAGAAGTCCTTATTTTATTTTGACTTAACAGTATATAAAATAGTTAAAACCCCATATATATAGTATTCTTCTTACTTATGAAAAGCAAACCTTTTAAAGAAATTAATGGTCACTTTTTTTTTAATTAATTTTTGGAGAAAACTTTTAATTAATATCCATGGCTAATCGACTCGGGGACTTCACTGTGCAACTGCACCAGTAATTATTTAATGTGATTTTCTCTTAATAAGTATATATGGTTTTCTTTCCCATCAAAGTGATGCAGAAAGTGTTTTCTGCTTCAAGAAGATGGACTCTAGAAACATCTCCTTGGAAACAAGAAAAATTTTAGCAAATGAGATTTAACAATTAGTTAAGGGTGGACAATGTTGTAATGTTGCCATGCAGATTTATAGATTAAAAAAAACTACTTGTCATCAATCAAATGATCACTTTCTTTGTCAATGTAGATAATTGATTAGAACCGACGAGTTACAAAAAGATTATAACTATTTTTTTTAAGGTATCCCGATAAAAACAACACTGTCTGCAGTATTTATGAGCAAAGCAAATTTTTCGGCATTAATAGAAAATTATTAAAGTAGTTAGTTATTTTAAAATATAACATTGAAAAGAGCAGTTTTTTATATATGTTTTTTTGAATTTTATCCTTAACAAATATATTAGTAGATCAAAAATTAAATATAAAATAGAAATATAATTGACTTTATAAAAATGGACATCAAAAAATCTCTCTTTTTTATATATTGTTATAAATAAAGATAAAGATATAGATATTTCTTTAGAAAAAAATAATATCGATCTACTCTTTTGAATGATAAAACATGAACTAAATATCACGCATCCAAAGTTACTGCATGTACTATGAGGGCTTAGGTCCAAAGCGAACAATATCTCATTATTGTAAAGTATGCTTGTGTAATAACCTTATAAAAATAACTTTCATAAAATATCTCCTCAGACAAATACCATAATGTGATATATAAAGACAGATTCTACTGCATGAAAGATTAGGTCCCTTGTTTGAGAGAAGGATTGTTAAGATACAAACAAGTCCCACATCGATAAAATAATACAAGAAACAATAACTTATATAACACAAAACATATTTCAATGATTGAGAGGTCTTTTGGGTGATGACCAAAAGTAAAACCATGAAGACTTAGGCGCAAAGCGGACAATATCTCATCATTGTAGAGTATGTTTGTGTAATAACTTTATAAAAATATATAACACTCATAAAATATCCCCTCAGACAAACACCACAAAATAACCTCAACACTATGATATAGAATCAATGAAATTTCCTCACACTTTCTTAGCTGGTTCCTACATCCTAGTGGGCTCCAACATCCACTTTGCAACACATTTCATGTCTTTTGGCTTTTTGACTACTAGAACGTTCATTATTATGGCTGAACTATAATTCGGAGAGTAAACACTCCCTTCAGTCATTGAATTTGTAAGATACCATCGCATAAGTTCTTGAAATTAATAAATTTGCAAATTAAATTTCTAAAGTATCAAATAAGTTTTTAAATGTAACTATTTACTCTCTTTTTAGTCTTTGAATATGCATGTCTCTTATGATTAAGGATGACTAAAATAATTCATAACTATTGATCTATATAGATAAAATAAACTACTGATAAATGTCTAAAAATTCACAAATATCTTTAGGAGGTGTATTGCATTAGGATTTCAATAGATTTTAAAATCTTTTTTTATTATAAAAAAATTTGGTGATATTCAATCAAGACTTTTTTTAATATAAAAAAGTATTGTGTTATTCACAAATATCTTTAGGAGGTGCATTGCATTAGGATTTCATTAGATTTTAAAATCTTTTTATTATAAAAAAATTTGGTGGTATTCAATCAAGACTTTTTTTAATATAAAAAAGTATTGTGTTACTCAATTAAGACAATCATGATTTCGTTATGATTTCTTCTTATAGGACTTTTTTTTTGTAACTTAAGTGTGCCTAAAATATAGCTCATAAGTCAATTGTTTTATTAATTGCAAATTTAAAAATTAATGTCAATTATTTATTTTTTAAAATTTTAGTATAATTAATTTAAAATCAAATGCAAGTTTGAAGTATATGCTACTAAAGTTTCATTTCGCCTCCTGTTAGGTCTTGTCATAGTGGCCTACAGTTCTCACTTTCTCCAATTGATTGAGCTCAGTAGCAACCATGTTGTCAACAATGTTCTGTATTCAGTAATTAGTCGTAAGGATTTGATGTAGGTCATAAATGAATGTGATTAAACCAATATAAATTCAATTATAGATTTAGAAACTTTAAATAGTGAGGACAATATTTATTTATATATTTGTATAATATTAAAAATTTTATATATCACTTTTAAAAAGATAAATATATATTATAATTATTTTTTACAAGTTCTTATATTTATGGTTACAATTAGAATTAGGTCAAACTAGGTTATGCTATAATTTGTAGACTTGAATATAACTTTCGTTGAAAATACATGCCTTAAATATATCTTATTTATCCATCATAAATAATTTTTGTTTATGTTCGATTAGAACTACAACCCTAAAAGCTTATTTTATGGTAATTTAACACTAATAAAAATATAAACGCTACTACAGGATGTATGATCTACATCGGTTCTGGAAGGTAATCTACATCGGTTATAAAACCGATGTAGAATAGAGCAACTTAGAAATACAAACACTTCTACGTCAATTTTGAAACCGATGTAAATTTGTACATAATCTACATCGGTTTTGCTGAACTGATGTAGATTTGCGTACAAATCTACAGCAATTGTAAGTAAAACCGATGTAGATTTTACCACAATTCTACATCAATTATACCAATAATCGATGTAGATATATACACAAATCTACATCGGTTCTAGTGGAAATCGATGTAGATTGCATTTTAAAAAAAAAAATTTATTTATTTTTTAGATTCTTTCTGGTTACTTGTATAAACATATATATATAATATATATATATATATATATATATATATATATATAAATGTCAAACAGAAATTGTATAGTGCACTATTCTACTCAATTGTGTTGCGATACTACATAAAAGGTGATTATTCATTTCTAGAAGATACTTAAGAAACAATAATCTTTCCTATGCTCTCATCGGTCTAAAAAGATTCTCAAACATGTCTTTACGGATTTATCTACCCAATCACCACACAAAATAGTGGCATAATTTTGGGATATCAAAATTGTAGTGATTCATAAAATCCACTTGGCTACAAGCAATAAATCTTTTTCTCCTTTAGCAGACAAAAACAATCAAGAGAGACAAGCTATTACTTTATTCAGCAGTTATGTCATCCTAACTATCAGAGACAGAGGTTTACTCTAAACAATTCTATGTACTGAACCCAAGTACGTTAATTATCTCTATTCCGTTTCCAACCCATGTTCCTTAAATCAGCATGTATAGTTAAATACATAGTAATTTCAACAAGATGAAATATGAACAATTGAATCTTCTTCACTGATGAATTAATAACCAAAACATGATAACCAAGCTTTAACTACTTAGTTTATTTTATTTTTGGATAAAAAAATAAACTAAAATATAAAGGCAAAAAATTGTTTTTGAGATATATTGTAGACAATCCTAATTAAACTAAAAATCATGCTTTATTTCTAAATTTTTTTAAAAAGAAGGTTGCCCATTGACTCCGAATGTCTTCCAACTTGGTTTCCGACAATAGTGCAACATCATCAAAAAGCTGTAACATACAGTATAATATATTAGTTGCATAAAAATCATGTAAATAAATTAATTAATGATAGTAAAAGTAAAAGAATTACATTACCTCAATCCAATCATTTATTACTTCCCCTTCAATTATCTCTAACATCCAATTCATCACATAATATCCACATCTGTAACCTCCTTGTTGTCGATTATTCTAAAATGAAAATTAGATTGAGTTGTATAAGTAATTTTTAATTTAAGCTAATAAAAAACATTTTAGGCATATTGAGGTTACAAATCAATTACCATGGGATAAATCCAATCTAGGTTCTTTGGTTGTGCTGTAGATCTACCTGCCATGACATTATAGACAACCATAACACTAAACAAAATAAATGAATGTAAGTTACATCGTTAAAATTTATAACAGAGAGCATAAAATAAATACCCGTTACAAACTAAATTTTACCTTTTAATTAAATTTTTTATTTTAACATTTGGCTTACGATGCAAAGAACAAAACCAAACAACAACATTCTTTGCAGGACAGAGAACCAATAACTGTCAATGATTTCTACATTTAGGCACAATTAGTTATACAATAGATACATAAATACACAAATTAAATGGACTTCACAAAGATGCACTGACTGATCAACATAAGGAGCAAAGTAAATTTGCTTTGGTGAATTTCGTATCTTTTCAATGATATAATTTTGAGACTCCGCTTTTTTATTCCCCGATTTTTGAATTGATTGGGGCTCAAGAAATCCATACAAGTCACCATGATTGAGTTCTTCAATTTTACGATTCAAATATCTAAAATACATACAAAAGAAAAAATTAATAGTGAAGGAAATCATAATTAAATAGATAATGGTACTAACAATTGTGTACTTACAACATCCATAAATGTATAATTGAGATGTTAAGCATTGCTTCACGTTGTAATAATTCATATATATATATATCTTAAAATGAAATATACAACGTAAAATCATTATCGCTGATCCCAAATAGACTTGCAAGACATATTACCTGAAATTAGGAACTTGGATAAGTAGCAAACTTAAAATATAAATATGTTAAATAGTCTTTATATTAGTTAGTCAAGTCTGAAATGATTGTCCATAAAGTAAGCACTTTGATGCCTCACGTAACCTAATGATAGGATCACCATTGGGTTCCGACCTATCAATAGATGGAACTCGTTTATTTGCTCGATGAATATCCTATACATTAAATCAAACATCAAACGTTAATATGAATAAACAATATGTATTTGTAATTAAAGTTAGTAATAATGAAAAAATAGGAAAAAAATATATACCGTGGTTGAAATAGGTCTAACAAGATATCTCGGCCATGCAATGAAAGTTTGTAAGGCCTGCCCAACCAGCTGAACCTCTGAAGTAGGTCTGGGAACTCGAGCATTAGAATCTCGAACTTCCTCAATCACCACCTTGACCAAATCATTTGTCAAAGGCACATTGTGTATAGTTGAACCCCCCTCACAAACTCTCCCAATGGCCACTACAAGTGGAGGAATCCCCTCAATGCATAACTCACACTTATTAGAGATATCAGCATGAAGCTCATCTCCAAAGGGATTACCAGCAACAATAGCACTTGAAGGAGTTGGACAACAGCCTTTAGTGCTAACACGGGCCACGATACCATGATCTACCTCAACTGGAGGAACATCCTGTGACTGTGTAGTACTCATATTCGGGTACTTTGCCATTAAATTTTGTGTGACCCGTACATATATTTGTTGTGTGAGGGCTTCAAGATCCTGTGGGCTCAATCTAGATAAGGATGACCCCTGTGATAATGGTCCAAAGTAATTACCAATAGTAGCACCAACCCCAATTGTACGAACACGACCAGGATGCTCTGGTCGTCCAAGGCAATATTTAATATATCTTGACGGCCTTTAGGAATAAATGAACCTTGTGATTCTTGCTCCTCCAACACATTATACAATAAACAAATTTTGTTTATAATATATCCGTAAATAAAAAAAATCTACAATAAATCTTCAAATACATAAAGAGATTATTTTTATAAGAAAATACTTACAATTTTTTCTGCAATTTGATTAGCAAACTCAGAAGTCATCTCTCCAGAGCTTTTTGTGCAAGCCATCTTCCACAACCTATGGCGTGGAGGAGGATGTGGAGGATCAATCACTACATCCTCACTAGCACCAGATTGTATTGCTACCTCCTTAAGTCGTTTAAGTTCTCTTTTCATAAAATTTCTCACAAGTAGCTCATAACCCCCACGAGACAATAGGTGGGGTGAATCATTGAGTTTCTGGATATCCTGCGCTTTTTTTCTTATAAGCTACAATAATTTAATACAATGATAATTAAAAGTGAAATAAAAATACAAATTTAATATACATTAAAAAAAAATAAACACAATTTACCTTCCAAGAAGGGTCATTCCAAATTTCTTTGAATTTCTCCCATTCATCAGGGTCAATATTATACTCATCACAAGGACTTTTACCCTTGTGTTTCCCATGTACCCATTCCCTGGTAAGATATAAAACTCTAGAGACCCCGTTTGTGTCCTTGCCACGTCCATCTAATTAATGGTCCCAAACCTGTGGGAAGTGGGAAATGGGAACAACAGCAATGCTCTCATTTCTGGATTCATGTGTAATCTCTAGTTTAGTGTATGCCATCTGTATTTTAATCATAATGTTACTTGTTTTTAAAGCCATCTTTTACTTCAATCATAATATGACTTTTTTTTAAAACCATCAATGAGATTTCAAAATTAAAATATATAAATCAGGCACACAAGCTATAAGTCATAAGCTAGCAGATAGAAACCTTAATGTGACTAATTCGTTATAGCAAGGATGTCTTTCATGAAAACCACACACAAGCAATAAAAAAGAGAACACTCACCTTTTTATGGTCCCCAGTAGTAGCTTCAATATTTATGCCCAAGGTTAGAGTCTTCTTAAGGATTATTGCATCACGTGTAGCAGGGTCATGAATCCAAAGCAAAATTACAGTTAATAAGCCAAACTAGGTATATATGGTTAGGAAATGAAACATATTTGCTTCACTTGTCTAAATTCTAAAGTACATATAATTTAGTTAATATTTATGAATCAGGCACGTAGGTACAATGATTTGTAATTATTTTTGTTTTTAGTAAGGTACAAGAAATATGTTTCTAATTTGGATTTACAAAATTACAATTATGTTTTATGGATTTTAATTAAAAATACATTTATTATTTTTTATGAACATTTATATATATTTATACATGTATTTTACATGTATCCTTCCTATATTTTTAAAATAATCGTATTGTCATATTGGATACTTATATCATATATGTGCATCATAGTATTACACTGTCCATAATCATATGATAATTTCAATGAAAACTAGAAAATGGTTCTTAGTCTTTCACTACACATAATTTGCATCATACAAGCATGTAAGTTATAGAAGTAGATCATATAAATCATATAACAAGCACAATCTGACTCAAACGTTGCATAAAGATAGATATTAATAAGGTTTTAAATGCAAGCTACTTAAGAAGCAAATCTCATTGTTAGTACAAACATTTAAGTTGTCAAGGAAGTACAACCATCTTTAGCATGTTTATATATCAATTGGGAAACTGCAAACCATGGTTTGGGACTTTCCATACTACAAACCAAGCACACCGTATTTTGCCTCGATCTAAAACCCGATTGGAGTGGACTGTTTCTAATATCATATTGGAAAATATTGACCAGTAGAAAATGTCATGAACAACTACAAGTAGTGAAGTATAAACTAAGTGTAGGAGTAGCATATAATATGCATAAATATGACAAGTCAAAAGAAGAAAAGAACTAGTAAACTTAATTAACAACATATTAACTACTCAATAGATTCTCTAAAGAAGAATCTACCATTTGGAAAGCACACATCTAAGACAAATATGACAAAGGTTGCTAGTAATTTCTATCCTGCTAGTCCAATTTCTGTGAGGATTTCTTTTTTCAAGCTGTTCAGTTTCTATGATTGCATAATAATTTCAACGGTTCTATTTCATTCCTAGCACTAGAAATGCAAAAGACAGAGGAAAAGTGATATAATATAGTCAATCTAAGGGAAAGGACTGAAAGTTCAAGATCCAATGGTCAGTTTTCTAGCATCAATTTCAATGCCATCAAAGAACAATAAAAGTTAAACAACTTCCCCTTAGAGACCAAATTTTCACGAAAGTTGTAAGCAATTAAGATATAGTCATTAAACACTTCCATTTTAGACACTCCCTTCGTTGAAAATGTCAAAGATGCATTTGGAAGTATCAGAAAGACTAAGGTAGTACCATTTTAATTGAAAAGAAAATACATTTTCAAATGCTTGTAAGGTAGACCAAATTTGGTATACGGGCACCAAAAAATAGGTTCCAAATCTGAGACTAAAAACTAAATAGAACAAAAAACAGGACTTGTTTTATGATTTTGAGTATCAGCAAACGAGACAGTCATATAGTTACTCATAGTCATTGGCAGAGGAGGCTCTTGTAGAGGAAAGATAGATACAGAGAGCAGAGAAAAACATTCATGAGGCATAGAAAGGATTGGAGTTATGTGGGCAAAGCCACTGAGGAGAGATTGAATTAATGGAAAGTGATAGAACCAACTGGAATAGGATGAAATTTTATTGTGTTTCATTGTTTGGTTCATTTATGTTATAATAAAATAAAATAGATCATGATGGAATGAATTCCAATCTAATCCATCTAAACCCTTAATTTTTTCACCCCAATGCTGGGTACAGTGTTTCCAAAGTTTTAGTTGTCAAATTGTTTGAATCTGGATCGGGACAGGTAGCTGTTTCAATCAAGCATTTAAACAGCCATGCTTCTCAACAATACCAACGTAAATAACAACATTTTAAGAACTAAGGTGAATCAATAATAAGGATTTAAAAAGAAAGAATGCTTACTCTAACATGAATTCTATCTTACAAATAATTGCACATAGAAAACCACCTATTAGATCACAATCCTCGCAATCAAGTAGATCATTACAGAAAACATGTTCATATTTGTTGCATATCTTTCGGGCATTATGTCAAACAACTTGTTGGCTTATTCAACCACATTGTTCTTAACACACCCAACAAGATTTTTTGGTCCAATATATGAAGCAATGATTCATGAGCATGACTTATTTAACCATTTCATCAATCACAAATATCATGGAATTGTTTGTGCCTAGATTTTTTTGTGGATTATTTCAGAAAAAATTACAATGTCCTCTTCAACTTCATTTTCCCTAGACGGATAATATTTACATTTTGGTTGAAGAAAACATGTTTTGCTAGTTCACTATCTGCTCTATGCTTCTCCATAAACTGGACACATTTCAAAGGAAAAAATCTATATCATCATAAAGCTAAATAATATATTATCCCATCTCCACAAAAAAAAATAAAAAAATTCAGTATCATATATCATATTATACGTGGAAAAGCTGCAATTAGAAGCAAAATAAAATAAAATGACAAATAAAGTAATATAAATATTAAGAAATTTTCAATCACATGTGTTCTCACCTAATTGCCCAGGAACTCGAGCCTCTTTGTGTGGAGCTAGAGAAGTGAACTACACTACAGGGAGGAAGTGGAATGGAACCAACCTATAGTTTGGGCCTAAACAATGTTTAAGAAGATTGAGGCCCATATTATTTTGGCCAGAGTTTGGTGGTGAATTATTATTTATGTTTTTAAAAAAATGAAAATTGCATGCATAGAACTTAGAAAGTTAGAATAAAAGATGGTTTTGAAAATTAATATTTTGAACCCCCACTCTATTATTAATCAAATACGAACTTGCTTTCAAAATTTTGGCAATTATCGTACATGTGAGATTTTAAAACCTACTTCTTTGTACATAGTCATCCAGTTTTTAAGTACAGCAAACAACATCATACGAAACTCTATCTGCCACTTAACTTAAAAACATGATGTTTTAACTCAATTTCAAAAACCCTCCCTCAATCTACTTCCATATATGACTAGCTAAACACTGTTCTGTTTTATTTGCACTGTGCTGATTTCTAAATAGAAGGCATATTTGTCTAGAGAAAGAATGAAATAAGAGAGAGTAATAATTAGTGGCCTGTAATAAATTATACCTATCCCTTAAAAGGTTTTGCTGCTTCTTGAAATACTGAGATTAACTTCTCTGAATCATTTGAAGTTGCAAACAGCAACACCTAAAAGTGAAGTTTCAAACACAAAGCATGTGATGAAGAATATTGTTCTGAACAGATAACAACAACATAAGATACATGTGTATAAACACCAACCTGTTTCTTGATTGGATTTTCGAAGACTGATGGGGCACTTTCTAAACAAACCAAAGATTGTGATTGCTGAAGTTGGACTGTGGAGGCCATACATACATATTACAACAAACAACCACAAATTAGTAGTAGCAAATAGTTGCAAAAATGAAAATAGAAAAGCCATTGAACACATGATAGATATATCCACAGAATTGTCATATTAGCACTTTTTTTGTGTAATGAGAAAGGTGAGAAACATTGACTTTTGACCATACCCAACAATTATGAGATATGCAGTGCTAAATGCTGATCTATATATATATCTTCCTTTACCATAGCCAAAAAATAGTTACTTTAATTTCAATAATAAAAACTATAAAAAAAAGGAGCCAGTTTCGCATCTGGATCTATATTTGTTCATATACACAGACCTGAAGATTGATCTCCCGATCAAATGCTTATGCGACAAAAGTTATCAACCAAATACACCAAAGACAGAGAAACCACCCAAAGCTAAAGACAAAATGAGGGCACTCTCAACTGATTCCACCAACCTGGCCAATTTATATACACCCCTTTTATTTACATATAATTATCATACATTATCACCAAATACAGATGAATCAATTAATATAAAATTGTTTTGATTTAATCTAATCAAATCCAAAGAAATTATCAACAAATACAGATGCATCATGCTAACATGCATTGTTACCTCAAACACGTCAGCAAATGCTGCAAATGCTGTCGTCGACGACGAACTTCACCAAGACGACCACCACGTTTCAGAGACCTCCTCCGAGAGCGTCTATCAAGTTGAAGCACTAACAAGAATGAGAAACGAAATCACAAAGAAGAAAAACCTAAGATAAACAAAAAAACTAGAAGACATTACCTAACGCTGTTCGTCGAAGAGGGTCAGAACTTTGTCAACCAGGTTCGATCACCGTCGTTGCTCGCGGCGGAGGGCGAAGCGAAAACGGTTCGGTCAGTCGATGGTGATTAACAAGTAGGGAGAAGAGTGTGTGCAAACAGATCGGTCAGTCGATGGTGATCAACGGAGTTCGCTCTCCGTCGCTGCTCACGGCGGCTGGGAACGTTGCTGATGAGGGAAAGGGTGGGATGGTCCCAGGGTGGTCGCGGGAATATTAGGGTCTCACTTCTACATCGGTCATAATTAAAACCGATGTTGAACAGCTTTCCGAATTCTATTTTTACATCGGTCAATCATAAAATCGATGTAAAATTACTCATATTTATTTTGTTTATCCTCCCAACCGATGTAAATATATTTGTATTATTTACAAGTTTGTTACTGCGTTTATGATTTACATTGATTTTCTACTAGAATCAATGTAAATATAACGATGTTAAACAGTATTTTTGTAATAGTAAAAAATAAATATGTTAAATTTTATAAAAATAAGATTTAATTTATTTATGATATAAACATGTTTTTAATATCTAATATAAATGTTTAGATGATAATTTATTTAAAAACATATTTTATAATAAAATTTTTGAATAGAACAAAAATCTTACAATCTTTACTATTTTGATTTTCTTTAATTAATGTAAATAATAAATAAAAAGTACAAAAAATAAATATGTATGTTACAAATTTTATTTTATTAAAAAGATTTTTTTAATATATTATATTATATATGTGAATATTAATATATATATATATATGTATATATTACAATTAAAATTTTAAAATAATTTAATTTATTATCAAGAAGTATTCTTCGTCACATATGAGAATTAATCTCCTTCAAAAGTTTAATAAACATAAAATAAATGGAAATCTCCTACAAACTTAAATTTGATATATCCGATAATTTAAACATATATAATCTTATTTTATTAGAATATAACTTTTGTTTTTAAAATATATTATTTTTTAGATAAAAAACATATATGCTATATATAACATTATAAAATGGTAGTGAGAGCAAGTGCCCCCACAAGATATCATATAGATTCGTCTTTGTATAAATTGTTGTGCATTTTTCTCTTAACCTTAATATTGTACTTTACATTCTTGCAAATCTGATAACATGCTTATTATTATGTGTTATGTCTCATGAACATTGCATATAGAATGAATAGAATCTGAATTTGCATTAATAAGTGTTAATTTTCAACATAACATCTCTTATAGGCCGAAACAATTTTGGTTCATTGGAAAGTTTTTGAAAAAGTTTTAACCAAGAAAATTGAAAAGAATTATTTAAAAATTCAATTGACCCCCTCTTGAATCGGTCATCTTTTCAAACAGTATATATGTACAAAGTTTTGTTATCATGCCCTAAGGAATTTATGTTTTCATGTTTAAATTGGCAGGGACTGATTTATGTTTTCTACACTTTATACATATATTTATTGCATGGATGCCTAGGTATTATTACGTGATAACCATAGATTAGTAGATTCTTTATGTTTTCCATTGCACAATAATTATGTTGTACTAAGTATAGTAACATGTCAGGTCATTACACTCATAATACAAATTTACAAATAAACACATGTAGAAATTCAAATAGAGACCTACGAAGCTAAGGGATCCCCTCACTACCCATACCTCTCATACATGCCCAAGAATGAGACATTTTGACTCCCATTACCTTGAGTGATGATCCCATGACCCAACTTGTTCTCCATAGCCCCAACCGCTACTTCGTACTTTCTCTGATGACCTCCTCTAAGTTCTTTACAATTGCTGTTAAGATTTTAGAAGGATATATAATGAAAACCTAGCACTCGTCATTTTTAAAAGCCTTCAAATTTAGCCTAAAGTTCAATCCAAACTCCTTTCTCCACCTACAACCCTTTTCTTTTTATTTTATTTAATAAAATATTTTAATTATTACTAACCCAATTAATTATATTAATTAAGTCATAAAATATAATTATTTTATTAATCACTTATTTTATTTTATTTAAAAAATTGTTACAAAATGTCCATCATCAATAATTCTCAAAGTTGTATAGAATACATCAATAACTTTTTTTACTTTAAAAAGCTACAAATTATGTTGCAAAATATCATGTATAAATTAATTTCTTTCTATTTTGATTCGTGAAAATAATTTTTGATTTTGATTCCTGAAATCTATTATTGCTATGATGAATTCAGTTGACGGAAATCAAAAGTCGTGATATTTTCTTTAAAAAAAGGTTTTATTGCAAAATTTATTGCATACATATTTTTTTTACTGAATAAATTATTTGCACTCATCACTGCAGTTATACTATAACACTCCTACCTTAATTCTCTTTATGTTTGTAGAATTACGTACATTTCTTTTTGCAAAATAAATTCATCACTGCAGTTATATACTACAACACTACTTTTATATATATATATATTGTACCGTCTCGGTAAAAATCCGACTGATCAGATACCCGACTATGTTACCAGGCCACAAGCCCTCTCGCCTTATCGGCTCAGGGCTGGAAGGCTAGTGTACCTTCTCGGTAAAAATCCGACTGGTGTACCCTCTAGGTAAAAACCCGACTTGATCCTCTGTCTGATTGGAAGCAACTCGCCTACAACCGAGTTGACATCCCTAAGCGAGCCGTCTCCACTCGCCTATAAGGGGACCTCTCGGCGCATACCCGATTGGACCCTTGGCACATGCATAATCGGTCAAAATCCGACTTGACTAATCCTCACTCGTTGCGCGGCATCGTAGCAAGAACGGTTGAGGAAATCCCTACGTTCACGGGGCCCATAAAGCCCATGGACGACGAAGTATAAAACCTAAAACCCTAAGGCTAAGAAGGCAGATTACACTTTTTGAATGCTCTGGCTTTGCGGCTTGATCTAGGAAAAACCCTAGTGCACCCCGTGGCCGGAACATTTTGGCGCCCACCGTGGGGCTACGGTGAAACTTTTCCTTACGC